TCTACTCTCGTGTGTTTTCGACCTGTTGGGGTGACAGGACCTGGGGAGGAAACGGGACCTCCCCCTGCTAACGCGAAGGCTGGACTCGAACCGCTGAAGCGTCGACCATTTCTGGCCGGCAACTTTCACCGTCATTAAGCCACTGCGCCACCGCGTCCCCCTAGGATTTATGTACTGTAAACTAATTCAAAAGTATGTGGACAGCAGCAAACAGTTCTTCCACATGAATATTAAAACATAGCAATATGCCCAGAGACACTAGTTGTTAAAATTAACTTATATTATACATATTTTAGTTTGACTATTCTCTAGGCCTTATATTTCTGGAAAGCTCATAACAAGATACATGAAATGTGTATTTCTGATTTTTACTGGGTGAGATTTCATTATCAATTATTTTCATTGTGATGTTCATCAGATTACATTCACACATAGCCCAACAGAATTCAAACTGAAGCTGCATTAGATTGAATGCATGTGGTATCTTCAGCTCTTACTGTGAGAAATGGTTGCACATTTCTTTCCCAGAATCACAAGTGAGATCAGAAGCACTGGATTGTAAAATGCTATACTGCAAGTCCACTGTTAAATTTTCCTCAAAGTATAAATTCAGATACTCAGGTAATTGTAATAATAAAAATTTCTCACAAACATTTATAAAAGTATTGAAAAGTTGATAGTCTCATTCCTTGCATGGTGTGACTTTTTTCTCTCCAAAAAGCTTTAAATAGCAGAACAGGCACCTTCATTAAAACTCACTCTCAATTAAAACTCTTTTTTTCAAACTTTGCAATTTTGCAAAGCCACCCCATTGTGGCTGGGGAATTCTGGGAGTTGAAGTCCACACACCTTAAAGTTGCCAAGTTTGAAAACATTGCACTAGAACAACAGTGATTCTTGCCTGCTGTTTTTCAATAGACCGAGTGACCAAGCCAAAACCATAGAGTTCTGAACAAGGCAGTAATTGGTTCTGAACTTGTCAAGGTTCTGTACCAGCTTTTTTTGTTTTTTGTTTAGAGAGACAGACCATAGAAAATCAAATTCTGTATTGCAAATCTCTGTTCTAGAGAGTCTTCAGTAGACGGGGATTGTTGTTTTTAAGTAGACTCAGTGCATATCATATTACCTGTTTACACAACACAGTCCAGTATGTGCCTCATGTGCCTGACACTGATTGTACAGCTTTCTATAGAATAGTAATGATCTCCTATTTTACTCAATTACTAGACTTCTGATGAGGATTTATTATCCAAAAAGGAATATGTTTGCAGAACAGGAAAACTACTACAAACTACTTGATTTTATCATACACTCATTGGATTCAGCTGTATAGTAAATACACACACGTATATTCCTATGTAACTTTTGTACATGTATAATAAGTTATGGATGAAAGACCTTTGGGGGAGGATTAGAAAGACATTAGAATGGAGTGTTATGCCTACGTTAGTCTTTGAATTATGAAGATGGCTACAGGTCCTGACTGTCACATCTCCAAAGTAGATAAGCAGACCATTGACTGAATGTTTGGATCAACACAACTTCTGTAATCAGAATAGTTAAGATATAATGGCTGCAGGCTCACAAAACTCTAAGCTTTATTAAATTTAAGTATGATTTTTCTCTAGCTGAAGCGTCGTATAAATCAAGCCCGTGTATTGCATGAACCCAAAAGTGGGTTAGTGCAGTAACCAGAAGGCATGTTACACAAACGCAGCCAATGTATGAGGCCTGGATAGTCATTCCAAAGCATGGTAATCGTACAGCAGAGTTCTTCAGATGTAAAATGTAACTGTCATCAAAGATGGCAAGCAGGAGCAGTGGACAGAATTTTACATGAGAATGACAGAAAAGGCCAAGATGAATTGGTGCTTTTAGCAGTGTCTCTGAGTCATAGAAAAGGCTTCCAAATTTACTTCCATTTTAAAAAGTTAAAATAATAAACAGTAAAATATTTTCTTCTGTCTTCAATTTTAAACAGAGGTAGACAATGCATTAAATGTAGTTTGAATAGAAGAACATATTAAGAGACTTATTAAACAAATCAAAGAAGGAGTAATATTAACCTCTTCATATTGTCAGTTTTAGCTTCTCTCAAGTTTAAGAGAAATAGGAAGATAGCCTTTAAAGCAAGTCTTAACTATAGGAAGCTTCAGAGAAGAAAAGGTGGTCTTTCTAGTCCCAAACTCTTCAGGTTGTTTTGGAAAGAATAGACACATTGATTTGTATTTGGAAACAAACTGGCAACCACTCTGCAAGGTTGTCCCTAACACAGTTGTCCAAGTGTGCACCAGAAAGAGCACTGTGCTTCACACTAGCTGTAATTTCCAAACACTCTTCAAGGATGGCCCCTGAACTACACTGCAGTGGTGTAAAATGAATCATAGGTTAGATATGCCTTTTTCAGGAAGGACTGTTAACTGATTTGCCAACTGAAACTGAACAAAAGTGTTCCTGACCACCACAAGAGCACAGCTAGATCCATAAAATTGCTGGATGTTCAGTTAGCAAATCAGTTACATCTTTCCTGGAGAAGGAAGAGCTTTGCCCTTTCTCATGTTAAATGGTAATCTTATGTATTAACTGCTTTATTGCTTGAGTCTGAAATCAAGAAGACAGAGAGAACAAACACTTCCCTCCCAAGCTGCCAGAAATAGTAAATGTGGTTTCCCTTGATTTACAAACATTAGAATGACTACGCAGATAAAGTCTTTAGTACATAATTTAACTTTCAGGATTTAAATCAGAGATTTGATGCTTTAAATAATTTTTTTTGAAAAAAAAGACCTGAAATCTGATTTATATGAATTGTGAATTACTCCACTTGAAAATTCCAGGAAAAATATCCATACGGTGGTTAATATGGGGTTACAAAAATCAATAGTTTTAAAATATGAATGTACTTTTTAACTATATACCAAACACTGGAATTTATCACTATATGAAGATTTATTTATTTTTGTTTTGTTTTGTTTTGTTTTGTTTGGGGTTTTTTTGGTTCCTTTGAGTCATTGTTAACTCCTGGCTGCTACCTGGACTAGTCCCTGAAGTTTTCTTGGAAAGGTTTCAGAAGTGGTTTGCCTTTGCCTCCTTCCTAGAGCTGAGAGAGGGTGACTGGCCCAAGGTCACCCAGCTGGCTTTGTGCCTAAGGCAGGACTAAAATTCACTGTCTCCCAGTTTTTAGCCTGGTGCCTTAACCACTACACCAAACTGGCTCTTGATGAAGAACTATGGATTTACCTAATTTGGGGGCAGAAACAAAATTACTGTTTGATGTTGAAAAGACAGTGTGACCCCAAATCTGCAAACCTGATTGAAATGTGTTCATATTTTGTTTCCATGAATTGAAAAGACGATTGCATGTGGACAGTGTTTTAATGCTATGTTTAAAAACTCAGCTGATGACATATTTTTTTTTTTTCAGCTTTTTTTCCCCTTTTTCCCTTTTTGTATTGATGATGAGAGTAATCACAACCAGAAAAATAAATCTCTTAACGAATGGTCTTTTCTAAATGAAGCATCAGTTTTTTAAGCTGCGTAACTTTCCTTTGGAATATACTGACAGACAAAAATCATGATACTGTGATGAAATCTACCTTCCAAACTCTGAGTGACTTCTGGTCACTTCATGTTGACAATGGAATGCCATACGGTGTACCTGGACCTCATCAAAAGCCTTTTACAGACTGCTTCATGAGTCTTCTTCATAAAAGTGTAAAATATAGGCCAGATGATGCCATTGTTAGATGGAGTCCCAGATGCCGAACAGCCTCACGCAAAAAATGCTGATTAATGGCTCCACTTCAGCTTGGAGTGCCACAAGGTTGTCCAAGGCCCTGTGCTCTTCAATATTTCTATCAGTAATTTTGGTGACTGAGCTGAGGGGACACTTAAAATTTGCAGATGACAGGAAGCTGGGAGGAGTGGCTAATTCTTAGAATTCAAAAAAACTGGACAAGCTTCAGCAGTGTGCTGAAATGAATAGGATGGAATTTAACTGGGAGAAATGTGACTGCATTTGAGTAGGAGAAATATAAGGCACAAGTAAAAAATGGGGAGACAGCTTGGCAACAGTACAGGTGAAAGGGAACTGGTTGTCTGCTCGCCACAAATAAAACATGAGCCAGTGATGTGATGGAGCTTTAAAAAGGCAAATGCTATCTTGGGGTGCATTAACAGGAGCATAAGAGTCCAGATCACAGAAAGTAGTAGTTCTACTTTATTTTGCCCTTGTTCACTCTATTTAGAATACTGTGTCCAAATAGTTCTGGACACCACTGTTTAAAAAGTGACAAACGAGTAGATTCAGAGGAGGGCTACTAGTATGGTGACGGGTCTGGAAACCAAACCCTAAGAGGAGTGGTTAAAAGATCTCTGCAAGTTTGGTGTACATAAAAGATGAGTGAAGGGAGGCATGAAGTGGTGAGTTCTCCTTCACCAGATATCTTCGAACAAAAGCTGGATGGTCATGTATCAGAGATGCTCTAGTGGATTCTGCACTGAGCAGAGGCTTGGTCTAGATCCCTTCTAAGATCCCTTCCAACTCTGTAATTCTATAGATGGGAAGTTCTGGACAGATAAAGAGAAGTACTTCACAGAGTCTATAGTTGAACTAAGGGGCTCCTGGATATGATGGCTGCTAGCTTCTACATGTTTAAAAGAAGATTGAACAAACTTGTGCAAGAAAGATTGTTAGCATCTACCAGCCATCATGATTACATATTACCTCCAGTGTTACCTTGAATCCCAGTTGTTGGGGAGCAGGAGCAGAAGGTGCTTTTATGCTACTTGTGTGCTTCTCAGGGGCACTAGTTGGCCACTGTAGAAACAGAATATTGGATTTCACAGAATTCTACTTTGATTCAACATGGCTGTTCTTCTGTTCCTGTCATAGTGTGAAGACCTGGACTTTGAAGCATTTCTAGAAAACTCATTGGGACTTCAGTCATTATAAAGCATCTGCCATGAAAACTGGAGCATTTGTCTCTGCTTGAATCCATAGAGGGCAGTAGGACACTTCCATAGGACAATTGGCAGCAACACAGCTTTTTCACAGTGTTTTTTAACCTTGGCAACTTTAAGAATGTGGGCTTCAACTCTGCCAGCTGGGGAATTCTGGGAGTTGAAATCCACACATCTTAAAGTTGCCAAGGTTGAAAAACACTACTAAAAAGGTAGGAGGAAAGGGAAACAAAACATTCAAATCTGGTAACATAGTTATAGTGCATTGTCAATGTGTTTCATTAGAAAAGGGATAAACAATGTTTCCCACCTTTTCAAGACTGGGAATACTTGAAAACAGCAGCATAAGTAAAACCTCCAAAACCAGAAAATCATCTGCCTGATCACATATATAATAGATCTCACTCTCTTTAGATCATCACTGCTGGCCATGTTAAGCAGCACGTGGGTTTTAATACTAGTCTCAAATTCTGTTATGTCTCTCTTTAAACCACACCAATTCTGTGAGTGACAGTCTTCTCTGCAATAACACCAAGAGTGTTGAAAAATCTGTGAAGCCTCCATACTTGACCATTTGAAGCATGCTTCAACAGCTTGAAACAGCTATTTTTAAGGGGTTCTTTCATTGCTTGTTGAGCTTATTTTTGTTTTTGTTTTTAAATATGGGTGGCCACCATGTGATTTATGATACACCATGTGACTTTTTTTCCTTTGTTTCTAATTTGTCTTTTATGCAATTTATAGAAATATAAATTAGAAAATACCATACGAAGGTACAGTATATCTTTCCCTTGACTGACAGAGAGGTGTCCCCATTTTATTTTCTCAACGCTACTAAGAGAAAGCAGCTGTCCCAAAGCCATTCAGCTTCACACCCGGGACTTTGAACCTGGGTCTTCCTGGCTCTGCTTGCTATGATATCAAAACGCCATTGCATCTTCTAATTATTCTGAGTTTATCGTTCTGCTGTCTCCTTCTACATGAGCCTTTCCCCTGTTCCTAGCTGGCTCTCAGTTCCGTCTTTGCGTCGAGCGTTTCAAACGACGGCCCCTAGCCCCTCCCCTTTTGAACGTTTCGATACAAGGGTGGGCTAGGAAACTATTCTTGATACCTACCCTTGAGAACCCGCCTTCCACCTACGACGATTGGCTGAATTAGGTCTCGCCCCTAAGAGAGTCTGAGAATGGCGCGCAGGCGCGCAGAGTTGGGGGACTCGGCTGCGAAATCAGCTGGCGGTACTTGGCTTAAGAGAAAGCGTCAAGTTCCTTTCTTTCTTACAACATGGTGAGGAGGGGCGGGGCGATCGACGGCTCGGGGTGGCTCGCCGCCTTTGCTTTCCTTTTTAACATTTGGAGAAGGGACGGAGTGACGGATTGGTTGTGGGTTCGAGACCCGGGAGGAGCCGGGAACGGGGGCTTTCCGGAATGCGGTGGGGTGACTAAGAAAGGCTGAGGAGGCCTCCCCGGGTGGGACGCAGCTGTTGCCTTGGGCTGTCCCCTTTCGCCTCGCTCAGCCTTTGGCTTCCAGGGATGAGGCAAGGCGCGTTTGCATCTTCTTAAAAAAGAGGGTGGGATCTTTTCCGTATCTTTTGAAATACGCCTTTTGGCTGGCCTCTTCACGTCTGGCTTGCTTGCACAACACGTTTAACTACGGTTAAGTTAACTAAGGTTTTCTCAGCCCAGTTTTCCGGTTTACGCTGTGAATTAAGCACTAGGGCTGGTTGTGCACAGCGCACCAGGAGATCGAAATGTGGCTGGTTGGCTCATGACGCGTCGTGTCCTGAAGGAACAGCCGTGATGGGTCCGATGTAGACGCCCAGCTGTCATGTAGGAACTGGTACCCTGTTTCACGTGCGGCGGTCACGTGATTGCCCCGATATAAAATGTGGTTGAGGGTACTTTGTGGTTTTGCGTGTTGGACAAGTCCAGCTGTTGTGTTATTGTGCTGTGTGAACCAGGCCATTATGCTGAATCATAATAGGCATTGTTCGTTTGCGCCTTACATGTTCTGTTAACTCAGCAACTCTAATTTGTCACACCCCCCCCCCAATTTTAGGGTTAAGGATACAATGTGAACTCAGCCATTTGGTATCTTTCCTTTTTGGGGGGGAGATCAAACTGCTAGTCTAGTTGTCATAACATTGCAAAGAAATTTGCTTGCTAACAGAGGAGCTAGGCATTAGTGCTCGGCTGTAATGTAGTTTATAAAGCATGGTATTTACTAGCATAGTCATTTATGTAAATATAATTTGCGTGACTTACTCATCAAACCCACCCTTTGGTCAGTTCTGTGACCTTTTCAAGCAACTTTTCCACACTGCAGAACCCTTTTGCTGAAAAGCAGCCAGATCTATATTCAGTTTTCCAAGAGTGGCCGTACTGCCAGTGTGTCTTAGAACCAGTATGATGTTGACCCTTGCTAATATTGAACCCAGAGCAAAAAGAATAGGGAGTCACTGGCATGCTTGAGGTTTCTAGTTTGCAGAAATAGCTCTCCTCAAAGATTTCTTTGAGAGAACCAAAACTCAAAGATATTTCAGTGAGAATAAATTGTCCACAATATCTTATAGAATGGGTGTTTCCAGAGAAACAAGTCCTCACACTACTACTAATCAGAAAGACATTGTGGCACTATTCTGGCTTCCTTTCCTTAATGGTTTATTTTTGGAAAGGAAAAAAGATAGGAGTCGTTGGACAACACAGGTTCTAATGGAAAACAGTGTCTGCTACAGGCTGTAAAATTCCATGAATTAGGCGGGTAATGGCACAATTAAAAAAACAGCTTCCGGTAGTATTAATGTAATGTTTTGCTTGTCTGGTTGAATGAAGCACTCTTTTTAGAAGAAGGATATGCTTCCTATGACATTTTGCCACAGATTTCAATTGCCCTTTTATATGTTCAAAATGATCTAAGCCTCTGTGCTTGCAGAGTCCCAGTCTAGCAAATTTGCTTCTCTTTATCTCTGTGTCCTGGTGCAAGGTGAACTCAGTTTCACCCTTGATTCACCACTACATTATAGCCTAAAGTAGAGAACAGAAGCAGTAATCTTACAATGCATTAACCAGCATTGTCTTTAGCTGCGTGAATTCTTATTTAAAAAAAAGAGTTTATTTGCTAAATGTATATCCTGCTTTTTCAAGTGAATTTCTGTCATGTTTTTAAGTGGCATCAATAAATCATTGTAAAGATTGTAAGAAAATAAACCAAGTAAAATGTATTTAATAGAGCTATTGCATGGAGGCTTCAAAAGTCCTCATGACCACTAGGAGGCAGCAAAGCTGGTGTTTCCTGGGTGCTGCCATCTTGTGACCATGTGAATATCTCACCAGATGTGGTAGGACTGGCACTTAAAGCACTTCAGAAGGCAGGCCAGCCAGCCCATGCAACAGCCTCAGAAGTCAAATACTTGCCCAAATAAGAACTTCTTTGCTTATTGGTGGAAGCACAAGTGAACTAACTTAATCTCCCTTCACAAGAAGTTCCAAAACATGGGTGTAATTATGGAAAAGAGTTGGTTTACCATGCTGACTTTTTTTAAAGTAGCAGAATAAATGAGCACAATATTTCATTCAGTTGAACCTTGTTTTCCACCTTTGGTTAATGACTAGAGAAGTTTGTCTCACTAATTTGGTGTATTATAGTTTGCACTGTACTTATCTTTTTAATGAGAGAACAGAAAGTATAATTCGAAACTAGGATGAAGTGTGATGTGCTTTTTATATTTCTATCAACAAACACAGTTGCTTCACCTCTTGAATTATACTGTAGCACTTAATTTGCAAAAGAAGTTGTATTCCTCAGAGGTAGCCTGCCATTATCCCTTTATAGGGGAAAGGAGGCTTTGGCTGTGTCTCTATATGTTTGGATTGTCTACCGAACTCTCTCTTCGTTGATAATGGATTTACTTAACTCTCCCAGGATCTGCCTGGTCTTTGGAATTAGTTGTAGTTGCTCCCCTTTATTTGTACATTTAATAAGTAACTAAGAGGCTCCTATAGTTAAGCAGATTGCTTAACAGAGGTGTTTTTATCAAAACAAAATTGTCTGCTAAAAAGCGCAATTTAGGCCATCCACTGCTCAGTGAAGGAATCCAAATTAAAATATTCCTAAGATATGGCTGTTCATCCACTGATTGAATATATCCAGTAAAGTGGAAAGTATCTCCTTGCTAGGTAGTTGGTTCCCCAGTCGAACATCTGTCTTTGGGTGTTGGGAAGTTTTTCTAATACATTCATTCTGAACTGGCCTTTCTCTAAATTAAATTTATTATTCTCTATCCTGCGCTCTGGAACAATGGCCAACTAGTCTTTTGTCCTTCATATACTTGAAAAGTGCTATAATTCATCTTTTCATGAGACTAAACACACCCTCCTTTTGTAAGATTCAGTTTTCAGTCCCCGGAGCATTGGTGTAGCCCTCTTCTTGCATCTGTTCTGTATCTCAGAATATTTCTTAAAATAAGTTGCCCAATACCAGATACAGAATTCAAAATGGGGTCTGACCAATGCAGAATATAATGGAACAATTACTTCCTGTGATTTTAAAAATGATTATTGATCTAGCCTTTTTAGCAGCCACATCATTATACTGATTCTCATTAAGCTTGTGATCAACTACAGTTCCAAGAATTTCTTCTCATGCACTGTTATCAAGCCAGGTATCCTGATCCTTTACCTGTACCTGGGTGTCTTTTTTTTTTTTTAAGTGAAGAACTTTGTTTTAGTTGAACTGTATTGTTTATTTTCAGCTTACTACACTAACCTAAGATAATTTTGAACTTATTTTTATTTTTCTAAAGTGTTAGCTTTACAATTTGACAAGCAGTCCCTCCATCTCTCCATCAAGGCCATTAATAAAAACATTGATGAGTACTGAGCCCAAGACAGGATAATAACAGGGTTAGAGTTCAGCCAGGCTGTTGACAGGTTCCCTTAGAATCTAGAATATAATCCTTTTGGCCCTAGAGATCTGGATTTCTTCAACATCAGTAGGTTTCCCTGGCTATGTTTCTCCCAAGCTTGAGCTGGAATCCTGTTCCTTCAACCAGCCCTTTCCAAGTGCCGGGTGGAATATATATCCTCTGAGCCAATATAGCAGTGTTTCTCAACCTCAGCAACTTTAAGATATGTGGACTTCAACTCCCAGAATTCCCCAGCCAGCATGGGTGCCTGGGGAATTCTGGGCACTGAAGTCCACATATCTTAAAGTTGCTGAGGTTGAGAAACACTGCAATCTAGGGATGGCATAGTTTTGCCTTTTCTTTGTTACCTTTTGTCATTTTTACTAAGCAGCTGGTATGTCATTCTCTGAACATTTCTGAACATGCCATTTTTTAAATGTTCTTAGCATCCATCCCCAACCTCAGCTCATTTTGAGTTTTCACTTTCCTGATACTCTTTAGAGTTTGGGGCTACCTTTTCCTTAGTGACCTGTCCTTCTTTCTACTTCCTGTGTATGTCCCTTTTGGTTTTCAAATCTTCCCTAAGCTTTTTTTGTAGTCACATTCCTGTTCTTCATTTTTTCTTCATTGGAATTATTGGCAATCATATTGTTAGTATTTCCTTTTTTAAAAAGAAATTCTTGTTCACCTTGTCCCATTATCTTATTGTGGAATTATACTTACCATTGCTCTGAGTTTATTAAATCTGCTTTCTTGAAGTTCAAGGTATGTGTTCGATTATATTTAGCTTTAACTTCTCTAAATATAAAGAATTAAAAGCATTACATTTTACTTCCCCCAGTGTTCTTGCTACTTCTAAGCTGGGTTCTTGGTGTTCTCTGAACTTGGTTGTTTTTCTGCAGGTGTTTCAATACCAGGCTAGCATCATCAATATTTGGGATCTCAGGCACTGATGATGTTACCTAGCCTAGTAATGAAACATCTGCAGGAAAACAACCAAGCTCAGAGAGCATCAAGAACCCAACCGTTCAACCCTGAGCTACATATATGCTCTACTATTGTCTCCTAAGCATAGCATCATCCCAATAAAGGTTTTTAGATTTCATCTGTGTCAGCATGTCATTGCCACTAACGCCCTGATGCTCCACATGTTGGCTTTGCCATTGTGTGTTCAAATCAGTATTTAAATATTTGCACTCCATTTCCAAAGTTGCATCCTGCAAATGCTTTCTCAGATAGAAATTATCCCCATATAGAAGATTGTGTGTGAAAAGATCCTTATAATGTGAGAGAGAGGGAAATTGTAGGCAGGCAGGATTTTACCACTATCCATAGGCTATGCGGTGTGAATGGAATATGAAAAGCTACCAGAAACATACAGGAAACAAATGTCTGGCTTCCAACAGCTTATTTCCAAATGATGGGAGGAAAATTATGGGTTTAAGAAAAGCAAACATTGATATGACAGTGCCCAAAATAGCTGTGCATTTTGCTTAGTGTGTAAGAAATGTCTATTTGAATCCTTGTAGCCTTTTTCTGGGTCTAGATGCCTTAGCACAGAGTGCTATTCAGAAACAAAATTGCATATTTCAAGATGTGTTGATTTTCTTTTCTTCCAGGCTGAGGTAGAGGAAACACTGAAGCGAATCCAGAGTCAAAAGGGAGTCCAAGGAATTATTATTGTGAATTCAGAAGGTATGGTGCCAGTAAAGTTGACGTGAATGAAATCTGCCCTTTGGTAGCACATAAGCAATGTTGTTTAGGGTTGGAAGACACTTGGGCATTCAGGTATGTATTAAGATGCTAAGACTGAAATTACATGGCTATTAAGATGGAAGCAAGTCCCATTAAATCAAAAGCCTTGACAATATTTTGAGATTGTGCTATCTCTGATTATTAATGGAACAGTGTGCATTAATTTAGTATCTTCTTCTAGAAATTGTGATAAACTTTCTGATTTTAATTTATTAAAATTGTTTTATTGCAGCCTTTTGAAACAAAGCCTCCTCAATACAGTGGCCAAAGTAGCATTTTAAAATCAGTGAAGTGTAAAGATCCAAGTTATGAAAGCAGCACAACATACAATAACTATAATAAACTGTAAAATAAGATGGGTGTCTGTTGATTCAAAAGCATACAAGCCAAATAAATTGGTACTGTATTTGGTTAAGATGGGTGGCCAAATAGTTCTGCTTAATAAATAACAGTATTTGTTTATATTTATTAATTAAGCAATGTATTGATATTTATTTGTTAAGCAAGCAATAGATAGCAAGCAAGCAATCTAGAACATCTAGCTCTTCAAGAACCATTCAAAATAGCTAAGAATTGATCTATGTGTATGTAAAACATTTGCAAGGTGGATTCTTAATTCTGTAGCCCTTTCCCTGAAAGCATTCTATTCTATGGCCTATAAGGTTCTACTAGGATTTTGCAGTCTTGGATTTATAGTGTGACTGGTAGCAAAATCATGGATCCCTAAATAGCTCCTTAAATTACATTACTGTAACTTCAATTCCAAGGAACAAAAAATACAAAGACAGGGTGCACAATAGTAGATTTCCTTCATTGTATAATCTAGCATTTCTCAACAGTGTGCTGGCTGAGGAATTCTGGGAGTTGAAGTCCATCCTTTTTAAAGTTGAGGTTGAGAAACACTGCTATAATCTCTTGCTCCATCCCTCCCCCACCCCAGCTATAAACTCATATATGGCTGTATGCTGTTCTCATGGAACTTGCAGAAGCATTTCCAGTTTAGGAAGAGAATTAAGCATCCCTTCTCTCTGTGTGATAAGTCTACAATGAATCGCGATGTACTGTTTGGCCTTCATTGGCCTTAATATAATGAGGCAGATGTATCTATCCATCTTTAATGAAGAGATGCATACTAAATCTGAAATGATTAGTCTGCATATATGCTTGCTATGTGCCAGTTCTTTTATAACAGTAACAGCCACAGTTGATTGGGATTTTAAATGTCCTAACTTAAAAACTTATTTTAGAAATTTAAGGTATTATTTCTTACTTGTATAACATACTGTATAAATTTTTTCTGCCTTTCATTTTTTTTAAGGATTTATTTTATGGCTGGAAAGTTGAGGCTAAGAGAGAAAACATCTCTAGGCACTCACTTAGTCTAAGCTGAGCATGTTAGCCAATGTGTTGCAAAAGCACCATTGTCTGCTAGTTTTAGAATGCTATCATATTTGTGAAACTGGCATGTATGCTTGTTCGTTTACAAGTAGTCCTTGACTTGCAACCACAATAAGGACTGGAAAATTCATCGTTAAGTGGTGTGGTCATTAAGTGAGACATCATGTAACTGTGACTTACGACCTTCCCTGCCAACTTCCCCATTGACTTTGCTTGTCAGAAGCCAGCTGGGAAGGTTGCAAATGGCGATCATGTAACCACAGGACATTGCAACAATCATAACTGTGTGACAGTTGCCAAGTGCTTGAATCATGATCACGTGACCACAGTGATGCTGAGACAGTCATAAGTGCAAGGACCAGTTGTAAGTCACTTTTTAGCACCGTCGTAACTTTGGATAGTCGCTAAATGAATGGTAATTACATACTACCTGTATTTCAATTTTTATGTCTACTGATTTCAAACTCAGGACTCTGGGTGGTGAACAGTTAAGAACTTAACATAACAATAATATCACAATAAATACAAATCAGCAGCCAAAGTAAAAACCATCACAACCATCCCATTGGTTCTGTAACATTTTTTGAACCTCCCACCCCCCTGCTGTCTGTTACTTATATTCAGCTAATTGCATACATTCATTCAATTGCTGCAGATCTTTTATTCTGTTTTTTAGGCCAGATCATACTGCTATGATCTTAAACATGATATAGCCTTACTTGGAAAATAATAGACATTGATTGCACTTCTGGGACAATTAATGGGGTACAGCTTTTAACCACAAGAATCCTCTATCCCAAGGCTCTGGATAGGCCCAAAATAAGAATATTAGCTTCTTTTTGGCAAAAAATAAAATAAAAGCACAATGCTAAATGGCATTGCTCAATATAGAATTCACACGTTCTATCCCTTCTCCTAGTACACTTTATATATCAGATGATCCATGCACTTATTCAAATGTTTATGATGATAATTCCACTAAAATATTGTAATAAATAGCAATGCATTTTTACAAAGATGCAAATAATAAGATCCCAGCATATATATTTGTGTATGTAGAGAGCATGTGCACTAAATATGCATATAGTGGTGAGAGAAAGTTTATGAATCCTTTAGAGTTATATGTAATTCTGCAGTACTGTGACTTACAAGGTGATCTGAGTGATTTAAATTTTACTAATATATGAAGAGACTCTGGTTAAACAAACAGTACTAAAACAAAGCACTGTGTCATGTCTTACATCCTTGGATGTAAGCTGCCCAGAGTCATCTGGGAGTTGGGTGGTGTTACACATGCTGCTCCCAGGTTCGGTTTATGGTCACTCACTCACACGCTCACAGCCTGTTGAGGCATGTGGATCTTG